TTGGCTTCTCCAGGCCTAGGGGTCACTGGAGGCGTCCGCCCCCCGTGTCGAGCTCAGTGCCCAGCTGGGAGCCCTCGGCCGCAGCAGGCCGTGGTTGGCAGTCTGCCTGCCTGAGCAGGGCGAGCTGCGAGCCCCGGAGCTGGCCCCAGGACCGGTCGGAGCTGGGTGGGGCGAAGGGGACACACGAAACAGAAGGTGGCTGATGGGACCGGCAGCTCTGCCTGCCCAGAGACCGCCTGGGCTTCCGGCAGCTTCCATTTTCCCTCCGTCTCCTGCTTCATGCACCTCAGGGCTGGTCTCTCCTCACAGTGTAGTCTTCCTGAGCCTGGCCTTGGCCTTGGCCTTGCCTGGCAAAGGCAAGTTGGTTTCTGTAGACGACGGTACATGAGAGCCATCCGGCCAGTGTCGCATCCAGCCACCCTCAGTTCCCGAGAATGAGCGCCTGGGTGTGCTTTTACAGAAGGCGCAGCCTTTGGCACAGGTCCAGTCTGTAGTGCAAGGGAGATGTCTTAACTATCCAGCTGCTCCCTTTCCCACCTTGCTTCCATTGGGGTACGTCAGTAATGCTTCTTGTATCTTAGTATCATAGTACTTAGGGTTGGAAGGGACCTAAACAGATTATCAAGTCTGACCCCCTGCCCCAGGCAGGAACTGGTGCTGGGGTCATATCACCCCAGCCAAATGTTTGTCCAGCCTCCTCTTGAAGACCCCCAAGGTAGGAGAGAGCACCACCTCCCTTGGGAGCCTGTTCCAGAGCCTGGCAGCCCTAACTGTAAAGTAAGAGGAGTGAGGAGAGTAGCAAAAGTGGAGTAACAGAGCAGGAACAAGGCCCTCTGAGGCTGAGGTAGCAAAATACAGGCACAGACAGGGATTCAGAGGACTATGTTTGTGGCTTTCGGTGTACAGTTGGGAACCATTTCTAGAGAGGCAACAAAGCCGGGATGGAAAGTTCTTGGAAGAAACTGGTGGAGATCAGTGAAGGTTGCGTGGGGCTGTGGTTAGAGGCACAAGTTTGGGAGTCAGGAAACGCTCACCTGCCTGATCTCGGTCACTTCACCTTTGTCCCAAATCTGCGTTCTCTCAGTGGCAGTACGGTTAGCGAGCCAACTGCCTGCTGAGTCAAAATTTCCATCCTAGAAATGCATGCAACCTGCCAGCATACCTCAACAGCCCAGGACAAGTCCTTACAAGCCAGTCATGGGCCTGCAGGAAGGGATCAGGGGAGGGAACAGGCCTGTGTTGATTAGCAAACGCAAATTGCATTTGTTAATGGTGCGAAGCTAGCCTTTGTCTCAGCATCAGGGTGGATGCCAGGACCCCACGTCTTATTCACTTCCATGTAGAAAGTCAGCGGCTGGAAGGAGAGTACAGCTGGCTTTGCTCCCCTTTAGCAACAATGCCTTTGCTGTGAGTGGATCCAATATCACCCTAAGTGAAACCAGTTATTGTACAAACACAGAAGTGCCTGCTTAAGCAGGCAACAGGGGGAAGTCAAACCTGTGTAATTAAAGCAGACCGAGGTACATAGCAAGGGAGGGATTAAATGGACTAATAAGCTCCTCAAAGTAAATCAATAGCCTCCTGCTTGCTTGCTGGTGCTTTTAGGATAGCAAAATACTCAAGAAGGGATTAGGTTGGTGGTGGACATGTTTACAGATCTGTTTACAAGATGGGCAGTGTGAAGGGATAGGGGCCAACTGGCTCTGATAGGTTTGGATTCTGTGATTATTGAATACAGCCTCATGTGCCGTGGGTTTTAAGTGGGTACCAATAGGTTCTCCAGAAGGCATGGGAAATAAAGGGTTACAGATAGTGTCAGATCTGGGTTCCTGGTCCTACTTTTGCCTACTTTAGCTGTGGAAGTGATTACCATCCAAACCTAACAGCTGTGCATTCCTATCTCTGTCACCACTGCCCAGGACAATGACTGAAAAGTCTTGGGGCTTGATAGCTCCTCTCTTAGCCTAAAGCAGAACTTGATGGGGCAGCATAAGGAAACCTTGCTGCAGCCCATCCTGCACTGACCCTACTTCCTTGTTTTTCCCTCCTGGTGGGGAGTTCCTTCCAGGTGCACCCCCCTGCTATCTCCCAAGAACCTGCTCTTTAACCACCCAGCACTGTAGTGGCTCCAGGGCCTACCCCCTTCTTCCTATCTCTGTCTCTGCAGCCATAATCAGTCTTGGAAACATGAGAGTCATACCCAAGCCTCTTCCTTACCAGGAAGAAGCCTGGGTCACTCCACCACCCTCATAATTGGATGACACCTTCGTGTACTTACAGCACCTGTGATGAGTCTGCTTCTTGGTTTGCTGCTGGGCACTAGATGGGACAAAGAAGACTGTCCAGCCTACTGTTCCTGATCCAGGATCCTTTTCTCTTTCATCTTTTTCTCTTCCCCTGTCCCTCCTCTTCCCCACCCCCAATAAAACAGTCTGCAAATATTTATGTACAAAGCTTTATTACAGCAGATCTGATCTGGAGCACAGAAAGGCATTGCTCAATACAGGATCAAAGGGTGTATATATAGAGAGAGAGAGAAAGAAAGAGACAGCTAAACTATGCTTAAGAACCTGCCTCTTGTTCACAGCCCCCGGTAGGGACCACATAACCATGGAGAAAGGTGTTTGGCAAGTTTGGGATTTGGCAAACAAGAACTATCTGCATTTTCCACAACAAAAACTATTTGCATTTTCCACAGCAGCATTCCCTTTAAGTCGCCAGTTCAAATCCAGCTCAAGACTATTATAAGCTGTTTGGTAGCCCTCTGTGAAGTGGTCATGCCCCAAAAAATCCCCATTGTTGGCACTGCTTGGCTTTCTTTTAGGGGCACTGCTGCCAGCAGAGAGGCCAAGGAGACTGCACTCCCATCTCCCTCACTAGAGACTGGGCCCTTTGCAGATCTAGGTTGGAGGCACGTTGGTGGGAGAAGCTTGCACTTCCACTTTGCCCTGCAGATCTAACCCAAGGATTTCAAGTCTCCAGGGCTGTCAACCAACATCATGGTTTGACCTCACTTTTAATCAAGTGAGGTCCAACAGGTCAGCAGTATAATTAACTTGCCTTTCATTGCTGCTTCACATTTTAAAATAGTCCCTCCTGGTCTTTCTCCCTTCTGTGATATTGTGATATCACTGGAGTCCTACTCTGCTCTGCTGAAAGTCCTGGAGATACATGGATGTTCTACAAATTTTCTATTCTGTTCAGCCCCATCCAGTGAGCTCTGGGTGTCCCCTTGCCCCACAGAGCTGGACTTCACTCCAGTGCTCCTTTCTTGCTCCTTCAGAGAACCTCAGAAGCTTTGATGAAATATTCAAACCAACAGGACTAAAGACTAGACCAACGACCCTCTGTGGGGAATGAGTTCTCATTAGTGCATCCCAAAGCACCTCCGTATAGACCGGGATCTCACAGTCCAGGGTAGGTCATGTTAAAAAACAGCTCGGAGGCCGATGGATCTCAGGTCTGCTTCAGGCGTCTCCATCACATGGGGTGCTGTCACCAGCATAAGTTACCTCCCACCCTGCCATGGTGGGTCTCTGTCGGTGAGACCAAGGACTGACTGGACCAAAGAGACTGAACTTCTCAAAGGAAGGCTTTGCCTTTAGGGCTGAAGCACATTGACAAGCTTGCACTACTGCCTTCCATGCTGCACGGGGTCATGCAATTGTCTCCCAGGGAAGGGGTGGAAGCTTCATTGTTTGGCACGCTTACGGGTAGATTGGACAAAGCACTAGGAAATGGACAACAGGAAATAGATCCTGCAGTGGCCACTCAATCTGGGATAGCATACACTGCAATAGAGCAAGGACTTCTCCATTGCTATCATCTAGAGGTGGACATGCAGAGGCTTTCAATCATCTGCCAAGCTTGCGTCATTCGCCAGTGCTAAACTCATTTAATAGAGACAAACCATTGGCAGGAGACAGAGAAATCAAAGAGAAGAGAATAGAAGGGGGAGGAAAGGGAGGAAATGCAGCCATTAAGGAAAGAGAATCCAGACTGGGGCATGGGAAGATGAGAGCACTCCATCCCTGGGGTGGCCCCCTCCACCTTCCTCCTGCCTCCTGAACTAACTGGTGCCACCCAGAGGGGAGGAAGGAGTGTGGCTCTCCATGTTAATAGGGTGTAGGGCTGTCTCAACAAAGCCAACTTGTCTTCGCTCTTTGGCAGGTCCTGGAGAGGGAAAAAGAAAAGCAACAGGTGAGCACCCCAGGGCAGGGATTACTTAATTAAGCATTACTGGTTTGCTGAGTCTCTCATGTACCAAGGTTTGGGTCTTTAACTGGGAACATGAGGAGCAATAACAATAACTCTGTGCTTCCCCATGCTAAGACCCCTTCTCTAGAAGACAGAACTTAACTTCCAAACAACCACTCTCATTCACAAAATGCCTGCCATTTGCAATCCAAAGGCAAAACTGTCTGGAGGATGAGGAGGGAAAATTCAGTCCACAGACCCCACAAAGTAAGCTCTAGACTCAGTCTGAGACAAATTCCTAGCATGTAGTTATTAAAGGTCCACATAGCAGAATCAGGTTGTTAACCAGAGCTTGTTACAGCCAATTTCCAGCTTGGGGAAAGCCACTCTGCTGAGCTGAGGTTCACCCCATGGTTCCAACAGGATACAAGATTCTTCTTCACTTTATGTTCCCAGTTAATAATTACTGTGCACTGTTAAAATCATAGCTACATCCCTCCCCTCAGAGCTGACTGCACCACAGGGTGGGGATATGGTCCTGTATTTTCCTTTCCATGCATCAGTTGATCTTTCTTCAATGAATGCATGTGAAGTTGTCCAAGATCCTCACACACAGTTTGGTGCCCCAAAGTGGGATGGAGTGTGGTTTGGCTCTACAGTACCTGGCTGCACTGCTAGACTGTACAACCAGCAACCAATCAGTTCTGTAGTTACTCCTGTTTTTCAACATCCTTCCCCTCCTCCTCCATCCCTGCTTCTCTGACTGGGGATGTTACCGCTTGCAGGAGGATTGTCCTGCTCCATTTCTGGTTCCTGGTCCTCTGTCCCTGCTCCTTCAGCATCTTCAGGTATTTCAGATTCAGCAAGCGGTTTCAGTCCATCCCCAAGGTCATCTACGCCCCCAGCAAAGGACACCTTCTGGCCACCTATTGGAAGCAAGCACAGCTAGGTCTGTCCAATGAAGAGCATCTCCAGTAAAAGGGGTCAAGGCAACAAGCAGCAAACCAGGTGAGTTCTTTGAAATGTTACAATTCAGTGAAATCCTACACCCTGATTACAGATCAAGTCCAAGGCAGCTCCAGATCCAAGCCCTCCTCCCTCCAAAATTAACACTGGGTTCCTCTAGAAAAAACTTTCCCTCTTCACTTCCCCCCTACCCCAAGCTCCAAACTTCTTCTGAGCCAACCCAGCAACTTACACATGCGGGGGGAACCAGGCGCAGCTGGGAGGTTAATGCAAGACCTTGGGGAGTCAAAAAAGGCCACCGATTTGCAGGTGGGGGTGCCCGTTTCTGGTGGCTGATTGTCAGAGGGAGGAGGGGAGCAAAGAGAAGGGGAATCAGGTGGATGCGTTGATGGATGCAAACAACTTGTTGCCTGCAAGCAACATTCTCTGGGCCTTGTTACACATTAATTTTGCATGACTCCAGGAGCTCTTAACCCTGCACGTTAACACCTTTAAGTGTGTTAAAGCACTCTTATGTGGCTCAAAGTTATGCTACTCCAGGCCACCATTATCTCTTGATCTGGGTGACCTAGCTCCTGTTCCACATAACCCAGTCACTCCCCACAGATGTTCGGCTCAAGTTGAAGGTGTGACTGCAAGCTAGCACTAAGCCAATCAACGTTTGTGTGGCTCACAGTGTAACGTGTAACAAGGCCCTCTGAAAACTAGACTCAAGCCCTCACAGGACAGGCTGCTTGTAGACCGGTGACCGCCCAAGCAAATTTTAGCCTTGATGGTTCTCGATGCCAAGTGCAGAATGGCACATTCATGGCTTGGACCCAAATGATTCTGAGGCTTCCAAAAAGAAAGATGGACCTAGACAATGCCTGGGATTGCTGTCATGCCAGCTAAACCAGGCATGTGACAGATACCCCCACTCCCCACCCATAAAGGAAACAGCCTGACCCCAACCCCAGAGGCCCAGGGGGGTACCCAGCCCTGGCACTGAATCACCAGCAATCTCCCATTGCTGCTGCACAGGCAGAGATTACCTTTTCTTTTGTGTGACTTGGAGATGGCTGGGTAGACACGTGGCTCTGACGCCTTGGTCTTGTTTCCTGGGGCTTCTCAGGGGGGCAGCAATGAATAAGGAAAAGAATAAGACACGCATTGCACAAAATCCCCAGTGGAAATACAAACGGGCAGGACAAACAAACCAGCGAGGGGTCCAGACTGTCATCGGAGCTCTGTATGGCCCAGATCAGTAACCTGGCAGGGGGACAGGGCAGCCCCCTGTGCTGCTAAGCTGAACAGTGTGGCATGGTTACCATCTCTTGGCATCAATCAGGGACAGCACAATTACACTGGCAAAGCTACGGCAACACAGCATTAGGTGATCCATTGCTTCATGAGAGCCCTGACTGCTACAAAGACTGTGTTCGGGGGAGGGAAGAAAGAGCTCACAAGAGATTCTTCTCTGGTTTACACTGGTGTATATCCTGATCAACTCCCCTACAGTCAACCGTGTGGTGCTGAATTTATGTCAGTGTTGCTGAGTGGAGAATCAGGCTGGTAAGAACTTTGCAGCTAAGATGTTTGTGGATCTCTTAACAACTTTGCACTGCAATTGGGGGATGTTGCATATTCTCATGGTGCCCTTGGTTCAAGGGCAACAGACTGTGGCTCTGTCTTTGGTTTCCACATAGCAAGGGATCCACATGTGCCCCACATCAAACGTATCCCCCTTGCACCTGAGTTATGTCAGCTTTTACTAGATGGTTTCATAAGCAGGGAGAAGGAATTCAGGTTTCTGTTATTTCTCTGTTCAAATAGCTCTCTCCCCCTTTTCTTTAGATAGGAGTGTTCAATCCCTGGCCTGTGGGCCAGATCCAGCCCCTGATGCTGTGTCATCCAGCCTGTCGGGGCTTCCCATGGTGGCACCACTTCCCTTCTACCAAATTTCCAAATCCAGACAGAGCCCCGATCTTGGTGTCTGGGGACAGGTGGGGGTGGCACAAGTTGCCAGGGTCCTATCCTAGCATACAAGGGTGCTTCTGGACCCCAGGGCCAAATCCCTGCACCCAATGCCCTATGCAGGCACACAAAGCCTGATCCTTGTAGGCAGAGCTCAATCTGGCCCACAGACTGGTCTAGTGCCACTCACCTAGCCCACAGGGCCAAAAACTTGAACACCACTACTCTAGACCATTAATGTAAGGAACCCAAATGCAACCAGTCTGAACTAAAGCCTGTGAGCTGAATCAGAGATGCGTACACTTTTGGGATAGCCCATAAAGCGCACCTCTGCCCTGCCTGACTTCAGACTAACACAGCTAACTACTTCTGTCTATTCAGAAGAACACGTTTGATCAACCCCACCGTGCACACACAGAGCTTCACAGGTTGGAGGCAGGAAAGGAAAAAATGGTCTTTGCAACAGAGCTGCCTCTGGTTTGAGATAAGCAAACAGCTATTAAACAGAGTCCTACGGTTCTCACGGGATGCTTTCAGTGCAGGGCTAAGGCAGGTTCTTCACTGTGTGCTGCCTCTGACTGCCCTTCTTCCCACATGTACAGTCTTTGCACCAGCGGGCTGTGGTGTTTTACATCACAGCTCCATGGTTCCCCTGAGATCAAGGCACCTTGCAGTGTGGGTGTAGGCCAGAGTACTCACGTGCTGACAGCTCTCCCATGCCTTCTTCCACCCCTTGTGCCGAAAAGACAAGTTTTCCTACAAACCACTGGGAAACACTCCTAGAGGGGTTCAGCTTTCTGTTTCACATAGAACTATGGGTTATGCCCCCAGAAGCTCTCATAATATACTCATAGCTGCATGCAGGTAGGTCAGAGTGGTGTGAGTAGGGCTTTGCTTTGTGCCTTGGGCTAAGCTAATCCCCTGCTCATGCACTGACCAGCTGAGTTAACTCTGCAGGGAAGAAAAATCCACAAAAGTCACATCCTGGCTTCAGCCTACCCTGCTGCCTGAATAGCAATACAGAGTGAAACTGTTTAGTTTCCTTATGCGTGTAACAGCATCCCCCTTTCGGCCACGGGGCTGTTAACACTTGCACTCCTGACACAATACAGTCCAAAAAGGACACAGGAATTTCAAGTGGCACCAACCAGAAGAGTTAAATAGATCATTTATTTTTATACAAATCCTTTTAGTTCTATTCTTCCAAGGAGTTATTAGTAACACAGAGAAGGAGACAGCTGGCCACAGGCTGATCTCAGTTCAACCAGTATAAATCTGCAATAGTCCCAGACAAATACTAGCACAAGTCTAGCAGAATTTGTCCCACTGCATGTTGTAACCATACACCAGGGGCCAGTAATTCCAGAGCTTCCACCAACTGGTCTAGTTTTACCCAAGGGAAAATGACAGCGGATAACTCCCCTTTCAACACACAACAGCACTGGCCAAATCAACATCCTCCTGTCGTAGAAGAGTGGCAAGAGTGACGAATGGGAGTGCAAAGGGGCACCATTACAGAGCCTGCTGGACCAACAGATCCTGCAGATCTGGCTCCGAGAGTTACTTAGCCCAGCCTGTGCTGCTTATCCTGCTGCGCTCCATCTGCCCCCTACACAAATGTGCACCCCTCCCCCCCCCAGATTCTTCACCATCTCTGAAACCCCTGGATCTTGTGTTCACAGGAGGCCTGGACGCCAACGCAGGTGTGAAACACCACACCCTTACCAACGTGAGAGACGCAGCCGCGATGACATGTGCCTCCTGCCTCGATAAAATTTCTCTCGGTTGCAATCACCAGCTTTCCAGCACCTCTCAAGCTTAGCAGCACAGTGGGAAATGTGCCTGCCTGCTCAGGAAGGAGTGAGATCCTGTGAAAAGCAGCATCAGCTGTTTCCCAGATTTGGCTTGAACCTCTTTTCCTCTCCCCCAACCTACCCCCTCCACCCCTTTCATTTAAAGAGCCTTATTCCCTATCCATCCATGAGAGGGCGCCATGCCCATACTGGATAGATGCTTCAGCCCTCTGGGCTGGGATGTAGTATGGCTTCCAGTGGGAAAGAGAGTTATAGATTCATAGATTCCTAGAGTCCGAAGGGACCTCAGTGGGCCATCTAGTCCGACCCGCTGCCCCTGGCAGGCAAGGAAACACCAACCCTGAAGTGAGCTGAGGGGTGCAAAAAGCCATCTGGGGAGTGATCAGTTCCTAGAGCAAGGTCAGGACAGCTGGCTTAGCCAATGCTCTGTCTGCAGAGCCCTAATCAGATTCATACTCTTTGTCATTATCTGGATGCAGCCAAGGTGCCGCTGTTACCAAGGGAAGATGGGGGTGGACTCTCTGCCTCCCCACCACCAATTTGGGGTGGCTTAGATCACTTTTGCAGCCATCTAATGGCTGTTTGGTGGCCTGAGTCTGGCAGGTCTCAGCTAGGTTGCAAATCAGACAGCTAACACTACCACTGGCCCCACTTGCACCCTTTGCTCCCAAAGGACCAGCACTGAGCAGGTCCTGAGGATCAAGTGCCCTTGAGTCATCCCAGTGATGCACCAGGTTGGCTTGCAGACCCAGTAGGCCTGATTGCCCAATGCCTTGTTCAGTTGTAGGGGCTCTGCAGGCTTTAACAGGGGTTCAGGAAACCTGTAGTCTCCTCTGCTCTGCCACTGATTTTCCAAGTGACCTTGGGCAAGTCACTTCCCCTCACTGTACCTCCCTTCCCTCTTCCTCCCCTTCATCTGTCTAATCTGTTTGATTGTCAGCAACTGGGGGCAGAAAGTTTTCTTATATGTACAGCACCTAGCGCAATGGGACCCTAATTTCCCTGGAGGCCTTTGGTGCTACTATAAGGCACGTACACAACACGGTCCATCTGCAGCAGCTACTTCTGATTCTTTCAAGCTCTCCTTCCATTATGATGCTTACTGGTCACAGACTGTGTGATGTACAATTTGGGGCATCTGGCATTTGTCCTTTTGTTAACGTTTCAGGTATTTTGTCTGTAAGATTGCATGCATTTGTTTATAACTCTCTCCCTACCACAACTTCCTTTGTGACTTGTCTTAGACTGTAAGGCCATTGGGACAAATGCCAAGGATTTATGCAGGGCTCATTGAAGCAGGGCCCTGATCCTGAGCAGGACTTGCAAACATCACTGTAGCACAAACCTGAAATGGCCCTGCTATGACCACTCAGATGCCCTACTGATGAATACATCCTAAGCTCTCTGGCAGATTTAATGAGAGGCATGCTGGCAGAGCTCTGTGGGCTATGGGATACTCATGAATTGAAAAGCATGGGGCTGCTATAAGATTAGGACAGCTGGGCATCAGCAGAACTACATGCAAGGGAAGAGTTTGGGCCTAGGGGAGCAGGGGACTGCACATAAGGAGTGAGGGACATCAGGAGCTTGGCATGTGGGGAGGCCTAATGTAGAATCTGAACCAGCTAGTCACCCTGACCCTCCTTCCCCATCCTCACTGCCCAGCACAGGAGTCACATTGCCCAGAGCCAGAAGGCTGCAGGGTCTATTTCTCCATATTGATCTTGCAGGGGAAAGAGACAGCCCATTCCCAACTCCCTTCCACACCCACTTCCCAAATTTAACCAGACCAAAAATCCCCCAAAACACAACGGACAAAAAAGTGGGCAGATGAATGGGCTGGGGTGTCTCTTTCTGATCCAGTGCCAAGGCACCAAGCTCCCATTCCTTTTGTGCCAAGCAACAGAGATGGTTTCCTAGGTGACTGACGGCTCTTTGTGCCGAGTAAGCATGGGGCGGAGTGGGATATTTACAGGTTTCTCCCTAGCAGCAGAGGCATTAAATGAAGAGATATTTCTGTATTCACAGCAGGCCCCAGCAAGTAGGATCCAGGAAACTTGGGGAGGGCGAGGGGAGGGCAGGGAGGAAGCAGGAGGAAGGGAGATGGGAAGTGAACCAGACCTTTAAAGATGACTCTGTTAACCTCCCACCTGCTTTGAGCCTGCCCACCCCCTTGACCTCCATACTCCAATCCTGGAGAAACCGTCCTGGACTACAGCAAATGAGTAATATTTTCCTTCTCAAATATTCCCCAGTGTCCCCGCCCCATCACCTCCCTCCTGGGTTAAAAGGAGGAACTGTGACAGTTTTCAAATATCTGAAGGGCAATTATAGAGAGACTGGAGATGGGCTTTTCTCTGTGGCCACAGAGAACAGGACTAGGAGCAACAGCCTCAAGCTTCAGCAGGGTTTATCTTGGAGATTAAGAAGAACTTTCTGACGACGAGGGTGGTCAAACACTGGAACAGGCCACCTAGAGAAATTGTGGAATCTCCATCCTCGGCAGCTTTCAAGGGCAGGTTGGACAGACACTTGGCTGGGATGGTTTAGTCAGGGACGATCTTGTCTTGAGTAGGGGGCTGGATCAAATGACCTCATGAGATCCCTTCCAGCCCTAGTTTCCTATGATCCTTTCCACAAATGTCCTAGAAAAACCCATGTTCTACCCCTGCCCTAATAGAGTCTACCTGGGGGCCTCAGACAACCTGCTTCCTATCCCTCTGATTCTGATGTGCTAGCATTGCCCACTCTACCGTACTCCAGAGCGCGCTGACTGCACCAGCCGCCCACACCCCCCTTCCTCCTCTCCCCCACCTCATCTAGCCTCCTCAGCCTGGCTCTCACTCACCACAGCACCTATGGGAACCAACACGGTGAGCCCTGCACTCCAGGGCTCACTCCAGGGCACTGTGCTTGGAGACCGCTTTCTTTTAATCGTGGATCTCAGCAGTTCAAGGCCAACAATGTGCCTTTGGAAATGTCCATCTGCCCTCCTACCTGGAGAATAGACTCAAGCTCTTCTAGGGGGTCAAATATATAAAAACAGGAGTTGTTTGGAAGGCCAGGAGTCTTGTGCTAAGGAACAGGAGATTGGTGTTGACATCTGACCAGGAGGTTAGGGAATATTACGGTTCTCAGGTAGGGAA